CATACCTTTGCTTGTTTTGCTGTACCTTTGTTTGTCTGTAAGATCTCTCTATCTCTCTTGTCCACGAGAGAAAGACGAGATTGCAGGTCTAGTAGGGATAAGGATCAAGACATCAACAGTTAGAGTGATAAAAGAAAAAGTGATAAAAGAAAGGTTAATGGATTTTTGGGACAATATGATCTTCCCTGTTTGTTGTGTCTAGCTTGCCGTCTCTACTATGTGATTTTTCTGGTGCTCCTTCTCAAAGCTAAACTGCTCCTAGTACCGCAAGTTCAACTCGTGTTTATCCGAATTTATGGCGTTATGCTTTCCAGTGACATAAGAGCATCACACACTGATAACTTGTTGTAAAATCGATGGTGTGTGCAGTGGAATAAATAAAACAAGACACAAAATTTACAAGGTTCCTCTACAGTCAGTGTGACTGGAGTACGTCCTCAAAGCAGCAGTGGTGCTTCCATTATAATTTAAAATAATAAGAGTACAAAATAACTCTCTCTATTATCCCCTCTACTCTTCCTCTCTTTTTTCTCTTCTTGTTCCATGAACTTCTTACTTTCATCCTTAGGTGTGTTGTGTTCCATAAGACTTGCTTTTATAGAAGCAAATCACGAGCAACATAGTGGAAGGCATATTAGTGGAGTCACCTAACATTCTATCCAATAAAGATAGATTGAAGTGGATTAGTGACCAGCCATCCAGTCACCTTTACAACATCAATGACCTAGCTTATAGAAACTTCGATTTTTGCCTTTTTGTGTTAAAATAGCCAGAAATCCTCATTTAGCTAATTTACTAAAAATGCTCTAATAAGCTATTGTATCACCAATGAACTAATTAGACCAAGTCAATATAAGCTAATGTCTCAAAAATATTTTTTGAACAAATAATATTATCCATATTAAGGAAGTGAGAGAGTGGATTAAGCCTCACACTATGCTAACCATAATTATATGGTTCAAATTTTCCTTTAACGACAATCGAATCTAAAACTTCTCGTTTATAAGTGAAGAAGAATATCACTAGATCGTAATACTAAATGACATAAGTTTAACTAACTAATTAGACGTGCATATGGACCCACCTCTATGTAGCTAGCTGACGAGACAATAACTTGTCAAAACAAAGATCATTAGCTGGTGTGAGAGGGCTATCAGCTACCCTTTGAGGAGTTCAGATCTGCTATTCTCAAACTCCCACTGTGCACCCTTTGCCTAATTTTTGCTATTGACAAGTGTCATTACTTTAGACCAAGTTAACAACGTTAACATCTTAAAATGAAATTGTTATTAGTACTCACAAAATTTCAAACGTTAACATCTTAAAATGAAATTGTTATTAGTACTTACAAAATTTCATTCTACATACCTTATAAGTATATAGATTTTTTTCTAATTATAAAAAAAATAACGAATGCAAAATGAGATTTTTAAAGTTTCAATAACAATTTTCTCTTAAAATATGGAAAATAAAAATATTACTAAAAACCAACCCCATCTCACCAGACAAAGCTCCCCCACCGATATTCCGTCGGCCAACCCATCTGCGCCTCACTGCTGGCCAGTGGCCACCAACTTCTCCCGTCGCTCCCCACCCAATTGCACTTCACCCAGCCACCCACCTCGACTTGATACAAAAGTCAAATGGTTCTCACTTCCTCACCGAATCCCGAACCCGTTTCGCTTCGATTCGATCTCTCCGCTGTGGGTATATCGGTATTTCTCTCGAAACCCCGTACATCCGCTCCCGTAGAAGAAGCCGCCGCCGCCACCATTGGGATTAGAAGAAGATCAAAGCCTGAAGGGATACTTGAAGTCAAACATTGGGTTTGTCTGTAAATAAAATCCATTGCTGCTAATCATGGGAGTCGGAAGGAGATGGAGAAGATGAGACGCGGGTTATAAAAAACTAGAAGACTTGTTAACTCAGAAGACAGACGTCACAAGAAGAATGCAGGCAGAGATGATGATTAGTTTTCAATGTCATTTGCTAATGATTAGTTATTTTTCATTGATTGAAGCATATAAGGATGACTGAAAGTACATATATACTGCATATACACATTACAAAAATATCTATTGCTCGCTCTAGCCTCGAAGGAGTCTTAATTAAAAGTCTATTGGTCTCTCTCTTCACAACTCGGTTTGGGGCTACTATTCCCATCATTTTCAGGAGTGCAGCTCCCACTGCTGCTGCCATCAATTGTTTTTTGTCCTTCATCACACTCATTACTGCTCATACTACTACTTACTCCACCAGTACTAGTACCACCTTCTTTGCTACTGCCTTCCTTGAGAAGACGATTGCCTCTCTCAACCAAGACAAGAGCCAAGTGAAGCTGATCATCGTTGCGAGTCAAGTGATCGTGATCACCATGATCAACATCCTTGATTTTGTACTTAGGGTGTGTAGCGCGAAATGACCAAACTTGGACCACATCACCTACACCTAGACTATGTTTTTCAACAATGCCAAACCATGTAGATTTCAGCACATAGGTTTTTTGAGATTTGCTTGACATTGTCCACAATCCTAGGGATATCTTGTCGGGTTCAAGCTTTGGGCCAATCAAAGGAACCGTCAGGAGGCTAGTTTTATCTAGTTCCTCCTTCTCATTAGGTTTGAGAAAATTCTTGGATTCGGTTTGCATTCGAGGCAGTGACAACCTGCCTTGGTCTTTGTTTATGTCAGTGTTGTACAAACTCTTTTGTGCCAACATTTGCAGCTTTGTCCCTTTCATTTCTCCTAAGATCAAGCTCTTGAATTCTTCAGGCAAGTCAGGGGCTGGTGCCTTATTTTTACCCTTGTTCACCACCTTATTTGTTGCGTTCAAGTTGTTGTTGAAGATAAACTTGGCCTTCTTCTTCTTCTCATTCGGAGGTGCAGCCCTATCTTCACCATCATCAACGTCGATGTATTTTCTTTTCAAATTATCTTTATCATCAATCACTGTTTGTGCTTCATGAACATAATCAAGTTCAGTACCACTAGCTCTAGTACTGGCAGGGATGTCGGTCGCTATGGTTAACTCTTTTCCGAACAAGATGATACTTTTAGCTTTAGTGGGCGACCTTATTTTCTTAGGGAGTGGACAACATTCTTCAAGTAAACTACTACACAAAATTAAACACGTAATTAATTAGTACGCGGCAAGGTTATATATGTAACAAATTAGTTAATCAATTTGGTGGCAGCAGTTGTTAATACTTTAGAAAACTGATTTCCCATACCCTTTTATCCTTTTGTCCATTTATCCTCTTTTGATATAAACATGAGTTTACAAAGAGAGTTAAGAAGTGTGTAATTATCTCTTCCCTAATATACTTACTGATTACATAATTAAATTAGCTAGCTACGGTTTGAGAGAGAGAGAGAGAGATAATACGTACTCTGGGATTTCTTGGATGTTCGAATGGGAGCGTTTCTTATTGGGAAGTAGAGGTTGATGTTCTTCTTCTTGTTGGTTCCCTGACTTTTCTTCTTCCTCATGACTTCCAGACTCAACCTGACCACTAGAACTCTCCAATATATGGCCTTTCTCTCTCACGATCAGCAGTCCGTTTCCTTCTTTCTGCAACGTATTAGTTAATTAAGTAACATTATTAACGTTAAAGAATAATAAACAAATAAATAAACACAGTAGAAAGATTAAAGAAGATATGAAAGCTTTTACTTACAGGAGAATTAGGGTTCGTGTTGGTATTGCTAGGGGTAGGGCTAGGGCTAGGCATAGTGTTTAAGAAATCAAAGTAGCTTCGCCTCTTCGTCAAAGGCAAGTCCGAATTCTCTTGTGTCTCTTGCAGCAGCTTGATTTTTCTGGAAGCGATGGTGCAAATTGCCTTCGCCAACATATCGAAAGGGGACAAGCCATCATTGTCGTCCAAATCTTCCTTACGCCACAAACTCTGCGAACTCATCAATATGATCTTCTTGTTCTTCTGTTTCTTCTTCTCCTTTTTCTCCAAGTTCTTTTTCAGTGAATAAAGCGAAAGAACAGACACAGAAGTGCGTTAATGTTCTTATATAGATAGTCTCTTATGGGGTAGAAATCCTTAATCTGACCGGATATAGAAAAGTTTGCGCTTCAAGGAAATAGTAATCCCTAGCTAATTGGCTAAGCTAAGTTTTAATTTCAATCCAACGGTTCAGGACCAAAGTCAACAAAATATGACTGTATCCAAGGAGGAATCGGATGCGCAGAAGATTTAGGAAAGTATATACGAGTAGATAGTATTTGTCAGGGAGAAGGGGAGCTTTAATTGGTCTCCAAGTAATCTTTCCTCAATAAAAATTGATGCCCTAAGTCCCAAAGATTTTGGGTTTCTTTTTAAAAAATTGTATTTTCGGTTGCCCCATTTTAGAAGATTTTGTCATTGGCATGGTTTGATTCCAATTTCACGTGGGTTTTAATATATTTTTAATTTGGCGTGATAAATTGTAAGATAGTTTTTTTTTTTTCCTTTTAATTTATCAATAATTAATTAATTGATACACAAATACAAAAATGTGATCCGAATGTTCTATTTTTGGGTGCCCTCGTTGAAAATCATGCATATAAAATATCAAAGCTAGTCACTTATCGCCTTAGGCATCTAGGCGATCTAGACGTTTGAATTTAATAAACAAGAAAGAAACAGCATAAATTCAAAACGAAATCGTTTTGGACATGATTTTTATCAAATTTTGCTAATTTTATGTCTCTAACTTAGTTTCTATAAGTTTATTATGACCTTATCACGTGAATTAGAGAAATAATAATAATAGTCAAATATTTAATTGTTTGATGTGCTTGCTTAATTGCTTGTTTAAAATATCATGTTATGTATATTAAGTATTAAAAATTTTAGTTTAGGCAATCGCTTCGTGCTTATTATAAAACGCTTTGGCTTCATTTCTCCCTTTTAAAACATTGGTCTTAAATTCGAATCGCTAGTTCGATACTCTTCAACTTCATTTTATTTGGCTTTAAATCAGAACAGACAAAAAAAAAGGGGTAAAATAAACCGTACAAATACTACTTACCTTCCAACTGCCAAGAACGCCCACCCGCCACCACCCCCTACAAAACCCAAATCGCCAAAATTTCCAATTTCCACACCAAGAGAGAATCTGTGATTTCATGACGAGTAAGAAGAGAGTGCTGGTAGTTGGAGGCACAGGTTACTTGGGCCAGCATGTACTGCATGGGTTCTCAGAGATTGAAGGGATCACAGCAACCACCCCCTTCGGTCTGGCGTTTACCCACCACCCCAGTCCTCCTCCCCAAGCATTGCTCGACGCATTTCCCCAGTTGCTGCATTTCCATGTGACCGGCCATGGATTTCAAGCCATTTCTCGGACGTTGGCCGGGTCAGGTTTCATCCCAATACTCCACTTGTGTAAAATACTATATATTTTCTTTTTTAATTGATTTAATTATGCTGATTTTGATTGGTGGTGTTCAAGTTATAGTCTGTGGATCTGCAATTTGGAGTAGTGGGTTTTCTGGAACATGCATTCTGAAATTTTTTTTTTTTTTTTTTCAAGCTGAAAGGTAATGTGGTTTACTTAATGGGTTTTTCCTGTTGTGGTTTCATATGTTTTTTCATTTTTTCTGTTAAATTTATTTGAAAATCGTATGGGGTCTTTGGTTCTTTGAGATTGCTTAGGACTCTTGCTTAGCCATATGCAAGCCATTAGTTCTTTAGGGGAATTACGTTGTGTAAAAGCTCGAACAGTTGTCTTTGCGTATACACTTTTATATAGTTGAATGAATTTGGGGGGGTGGGGGTTAGGATTTCAAGTACTTAACTTAAATAGTGAAGAACCGTTAAGTGCTGAGAAGTGTATTGGTTGAATTTGTAGCCTGATGTGGTTGTAAACTGCGCTGCACTCTCCATTCCTCGTGCCTGTGAAATGGATCCTGCTGCTGCTATGTCTGTGAATGTTCCATCTTCTCTTGTGAATTGGCTATCAAGCTTTGAAGAGAGTAGTTCTCTTCTGATACATTTGTCAACTGATCAAGGTTAAGTCCCTCTTAGCCACTATGGTAGTAGATTTTTTTATCCGTTTACATATCTATTAAGCTCTTCCGAGTACAAATGGCTCAACAAAACTAGACAAGAGAAAACTAAGAAAAGAAAATGGCAATGGACGAACAATAATAGCAGATACTACCAACGTAACAACTTTCTTAAAAGCATTCTGAAAACTCTAGACGACACTTTGATTGTCCCCAGTGGTAAAAATGTTGTATTCTGAGACTGTTGTGGTTTGTCGGTTGAGGCAGACAATGTCTAGAAAATTAGGATAGATATTGTTGGCCTAAAGCATAGAGTATTATGTAATCTTAGGACTTCTATCAAGTATGAACTTCATCCTGCACTAGATAAAGAATAAGAAAGGGGAGGGGTTACTTTTGATGAATTTGATAAAATTTTATAAAAGCTTCATTGTTTAAAATCAATGCTCAAATGTCCTCAAGTAAAGAAATGGATCCTGCGTATTGAAGATCATAAATATCCATGTCTGATGAGTATGACTTTCCAATGATTGACTTTCCCAGCCTCCGTAAGCAATACAAAAGGACTCTTTGGTATCTGAAATTGTTCATTTCGTGAATTAATCAATTACTGGAATGGAAGAACCTTTTAATTATGGAAGATTTCATCCACTTTCTATTCTATTAGTTAGGCTCAATGACCTCGGTGACTTATTTCAGTATTTCAGTACGAGAACATTTAAAATGCAGGAGCTTTTCAAGCATTCTACTCACGGTCTGGGATATCTCTTTGTTATTTCAGCATGAATGCATCCACATTTAAGATATCGGTTTTTCTATTTGAACCACTTATCTTTGTATTATACCTTTATGCTTATGTGAGTCATTTCTATTCCTAGATCGTGATTCATGACTGATGTAATTTTCCATCAGTCTATGAAGGGGTGAAATCCTTTTACAAGGAAGATGATGAAACCGCTCCTGTAAATGTATATGGGAAATCGAAAGTGGCAGCAGAGCAGTTCATAACTGAAAATTTCTCCAACCTTGCAATTTTGAGCAGCAGTATCATCTTTGGGCCACTGACAATCTCACCGGTTCCAAAAGACAGTCCTTCGGTTGAATTTTTGCTAATTTGTTGGTGAAGTTTACGAGCCCACCTAATAAATTCCAATCAGAGAATCAAATTAATATAAAGATGATAAAGACAACTTAATAAGTATGATCATAGGTTATGTGTGAGTCTAATCAATGATTTTTCATGTGAATGTAGCGGATAGATGGTGTCCCCTCCAAAGGAAATACAAGCGAGTTTTTTCATGACGAGTTCCGGTGTCCTATATATGTAAAAGACGTTGTAGCTGTCATATTAGCTCTGTCCAAGAGATGGATATCTGGTATGAAGTTCCCAACTCTCTTGCTTTTGTACTTGTTGAATCACCAAAAGTTGTGGACCTATAAAATGTTTCTCTGTTGTTTTTACTTTCTATTATCTCTGGAGCTTTTACTTTTGTCTTCATGGTTGTGGTATTTGTCGTAAATCTGCAGATAGTAAGCAAACAAAGGTTCTACTAAATGTCGGTGGACCAGATAGGGTATCCCGCCTTCAAATGGCTGAGATTGTTGCCGATGTTAGAGGATACAGCCCCACATTGATCAAATCAGTGTCTGCATCATCAGTACGTGGACCTTATACCATTTGTTTTTGCTATGTGTGAGTTACGTAGTGATCAGCACGTTCATTAGATCACTTTCTGAATAACAAATATATGGCCAACCAGTTTCAAGTTGCATTCTTACGACGAGATTTCCACTTTGCCTTGTGTTGACAACTCCGATAACATTAGAACACACACTTATACTGTCCAGCCATTTGCTTTCTCCTCTTTCTGCAAATTTACAGGATAGCGGTATATTGCATTTGTAATTTCAGGTTGATCGTGGAGTAATGTCCCCTGCCTGACACATCCATGGATATCACTAAGTTGGTTCGGACACTTGGTACTGCTCCAACTTCATTTAGAGGCGGTGTGAGATTGACGCTTGAAACTGAAGCAAAGCCGTCCTGATGGCCTGAAGATAATGTAAATTGCTTACTACTTGTAACACTAAGGAATAATCGTACCTTTCCGTCATACATGATTGGAAAAGAAATGTTGAAATTGTTCAAAGAGCAACTACTATTGAACCCAACAAGCTTCAAATGTCCTACTACCAATTTATTAGTACTGAAATTTCTACTTCACAAGATACATGGATCGATCAAACAACAAAACATAATGAAGTTGAGTTGTAATCAAGTTGTTTGACACGTTAATCGAATATATTAAGTTAGACGTGATTAGTTTTAATTTAATGTTACTTTTCTTTCCAATAAAAGTCGCTTCAATTTAATACATGTTTAGGTCTGTCACAAATTTTTTGGGTCACTAAAGACAATATATGCTTAGTTGAAGAGGTCTCAAGTTGGGGAAATCATTTCTACATGCTAATCTTCTTTCACATCCTGTTTATTTTTTAGCTTTGGATCAAATAAAGCAAATGTGAATCAAGGTACAATTGTAGGGATCGTTTAGAATTACTTTTAAAATGACTAAAAGTGTTTTTGATGAAATTGATTTTGAGTTTCAAAAGTATTTTAAAAACACTTTCATTTATTTTAAAAATACTTCTAAACGAGCTTTTAAACAGGGGTTTGCACAAGAGAGAAAAAGAATGTTAAGAAATTACTTTCTTACTAGTTCTGAACGAGAATAAACACGACATGACACAACTCGATCGCAACCCTACCCATTTGGGCCTGAAAGTACCAAACACGTGGGCCTTGAAAGCCTCAAAGAAATTTGGACATTTGGGCCTTAAAAGCCCTTAACGCTGAGACTGAGCAGGCAAACGCAGCTCTTTGTCATCTTCTTCTTCTTCTTCCCCTGAATCGAACTCCACAACCCTTTCACTCAGGTTCGTTTACTTTCAACCAAAACCCCCAATCCTTCAATTCGCACACAGAATCTATACATACATTTATATATATATATATATATATATATATATTTGAGCTGATTAGAGTTTCAAGTGTTTGCGGCAACAGATAGAGAGAGAGAGAGGAGAGTATCTGTGATCGAGCATGGGAGGAGGTGAGCACGCACACGGAGATGGAGCGCACGGCGGCGATTTCAGGGCCAAGGTGTGGAGTATGAGTGGTGGACCGTACTGTAGGCCCAAGCACTGGAAGCGCAACACCGCCATCGCCATGGCCGGCATCTTCCTTGTCTGTATTCCTATCGCCATGAAATCTGCCGAGCTCGAGGTCTTTCTCAATCACCTCAACTCATCGCTATCTGTTTCTGTTTTTCATTTTTCCGTCAAAATTTTAGATTTCTGTTTAGTTCCTGAGAAAATGTAGGAAACCTAAGGAAGGTGAAGTTTTGGATCTTGGATTGTCAAATTGTTAGGACCCGAATGCACTCTTTACTTGACTGAACTGAGGCTCTTATGAATTGTTTGGATTTAGTAGAGGTTTAGATTTTCACTTTGTGAAATTAAGCACACCTTCAGGTAGATTTTGAGAAATTGTCAGCTGATTTTTTTTTCCCATGGTTGTAGTGGATTGTATACAACATGTATCGGATTGTGAGCATTGCTGATTCAAATCAGGGTCGAAAATCGCCATTGTGATTTAGACTTGGGAACATTGAGAAAACAGTAAACTTAGGTTAATATAAGGGGTAGTAGATACAGATTGTTACAAGAAGAGAGTTTTGAATGATTTAGAAGATGCTGGCACAGGTTGTGATGAAGGATTCAGAAATTGACGATGCTCGAACATGAAGGAAAACCATGAAACCCAGGGTTTAATATAATTTAGAGAATTCGATTAAGATCTTCTTGATAGGATTACCTAGTTTTGTCTAGACTTGAGCAGGCTTTGCAGTGAAATGTTTTTTTGAACAGTTTGGTTTGAAGATATGAGGTTTTGTAACTTGAATGCTGTCCTGTCTATTGTTCTCGGGTTTCCCTTAATGATTTTCTACATAAGTATACTCTATTAACAAGCCTAGTGTGAGAGACCTTTATACTAGAAATGATTTTCCTTTTTAACGAACCGTAAGATGTTTAAGCCCTTTGTACCCAAAAAAAAAGATGTTTAAGCCCAAAGTTTATCTTATTTTATTTTTTTCCAGACAATTGACCAAAAGAAATAGTTTTCCTTTCTATTTGACATAAGAAACCTTGAGTTTCCATTAATTACCTACTCTCAGGAACAAAAAAAATTTCTGTCACTAACTGTTTTTAAGTGTAAAAAACATTGCGCCTAACTGTTTTAAGTATAAAAAACATTGCGCACAAAGATGTTGTAACTTTTTAGTTGTGACTTAGATCATTTATCTTGCTTATGTTCATAACTATGTGCGTGGTTAAAGTTTTTGGCTATTAAATGCCTTTCATTGATGCACTGGTGTAGCTTCGCTATCCTCCTTTCATTTTTGTTTCTGAAAAAAACTCTGAGCATATTTGGAAGTTTAAATGTGACAAATTTGGGGTCTTTATGCTTGGTTAGTATGCTAAACTGTTGAAAACTCAAATACAAAACCTTGCTAATACTAATTATGAGGCTTGTTTTATACTCTAAGTTATTGAAAATTAGGGCTAAAGTGCAAGTTTCGTTGTCATGGGAGTAAAGCTTATGTGGTGCTCTAGACTGCCAGTCAGTAATAAATAGGGCATTCAAGCTGAAGCCCGTAAGCTAAGGATGCAAACTGATACATGGCCTTTTTGAAGTGTGACAGGATGTATCCATGTTTGCATACAGATTTTTAGTGCCTCAGATATAGCGGGATGGATGGAATTGTTACTTAGTTAGCTATGTCATACTTTTTATATGTCATGAAACTTTATGCAACTAACGGAGATCACGTGTATTCATTTTGACATTTTATTTCCTTGAGATATTGGTAAAAGGATATGTTATTTACTTGTCTGTTAGCTTTTTTAGTTCCTTTGTATCATGAAAAAGTTGTCTTTGTTTTATAATTTCTTTCAGATGCTTCTTATGCTTAATTAATATTCATTAATATTGCTACTATTCTAAAAGATATTCCTTGACAATGCATGAATGTGGGCTGAAATTTTTTAATTACTTGTTCAAAAAGGCAAAGCGTTCTGGTGGGGATTAGATGCTGTTCTTCTTGAATTGATTTGTGCCACTGCCTTTGTATGGCTGATTACTAAAATTTGCATAAACCGGTCATGATTAGTTCTAAGAGGACTTATATTTTTATTGCAGCAACGGCCACATAATCCTGTTCGCCCGATTCCTTCACAACTCTGGTGCAAGAACTTTGGAAAGAAAGATTACTGAGTTTATTTAGGACCATCCGGTGAAAGAAGTACCTGTGGAGGTTAGGTATCTAATTCTTCCGGAATGCGAATTATTCCTTGTAGATGTTTGTGGAGAATATGAGCTGCCTTTTAAGACATTTGTGCTCATGTTTCCATAGCATTGAGTCCATGACTCATTGTTTGTGAGGAATTTGCTTGCTAAACTATCAATCACCATAATAAATTGTCGACTCCTTTTGTGGCGATTCATTGAATATTTGATTTCGGTCATGCTTGTTTTGCTGATATTGTTCCATCCTTGTGTCCCTCTAATTGATGTATGGCTTAGCATCATCATTGCATTATATAATTGAAGAATTTTAGAATGTGCCTCTGTCGGCCTCCTACATGCCAATCCAACGGCGCGGGATAATTCAAAAAAGGAGAAGATCGGACAAGTTATGCAAAAGCCAAACCACGTGTTTGAGGAAAAAAATGGAAAAATAAAAAATAAAAAAAAAATAAAAGAAAGGTGAGGAGAAGATTACACATTTCTGGTTGCCACAGCGGTCGAATTATGATGAAAGATTTTGTTCCAGGTAAGAGAGTAGAAGTCCTTTCTTCTGCTTGAAGCAGACAAATGGAATCAAATTCCAATTTTCTTGACTCTGTTCATTGGCATTGCTCATGCAAATGTGCTTTCTATAAAAGTGCTTTCTAGAAAAGCATTTGTAACTTGTAAGGTACTTCCACAAAAGCCTTAGCACCTAAAGGTAAAAGTATTTTTTTAGAGAAGCATTTTCAAACGACTCTAAATAATGGATGGCGAAAAGAATAATTAACTTGATTTAGTAAATTATTGTCTGGATTGCGTTCAAACCATATGGGGAATAATTTTATTTAAATGCTCTAAAAACGACCACCGTTAGTTTGGTCTTTTGACAATTCGATCCGATCACTGTCCTAGGCTCCCATTATTGACTCGTGACTTATGAAGTTTGACTTGACATTTCTCCCTTGTCTTCAATCAACTCTTGTTAATTCTTTTTGCCAACAACACAAACATTTGTTACAACTTGCTTCTAGTAATTTTACATTACAGTCTAGAAGTATATATTTTTATTTGTAAGTGAGAGATTTTAGATTCGATTCTCGCTTAAGACCAATTTGAACCATATTATTACTAACCTATTATGAGGCTAAAACCTCTTCCTCCCCTTAGTGTAGATAATATCGTTTGTTCAAAACAAAACAAAAAAACATTAGCATTTTATACCTTTTAACTAGCATCAATGCCATATGAAAACTTCCAAAAGTTGTTCAAAATGCTCCTCAATTGAGGAAAAAGTAAATAAGAGCAATGGTTCATGAATTAGGATTAAACTCGAGTTTTGGTTCTAGTCATTGTTATTAGTTTTTCGTCTAAACTATGCACGTGAGAAGTGTGTGGTCATTTCTATGTTGCTTGATAATCGTATTTGTTGAGTTATCTGAGTATCTGAAAATGTTTTGTCACTTAATGCTACGCTCTAATGATATTCTTCTTTATTTGTAAGTGAGAGGTTTTAAGTTTGGTTTTCGCCAAAGGCGAATTTGAACCGCATTATTGCAAACCCATTGTGAGGCTTAGCCACTCCCCCATCCCTTAATATAGATAATATTGTTTGTTAAAAAAAATAAAAAAGTATTCGAGAATGTTTTGATAATTTTACACATAAATTTTTAAATTCTTCTTTCTAAGGACATAAAATACAACACTATATTCTTATTTTTTTTATCCTCCAACACTTTGATACAAATTAAGCTACCAATTGCGCAACACCATCTCATGACTATTAAAATTAATTGTGAAACTCATATCAATCAACATGCGTGGAAATATTACACCGAGTAGATGCTATCCTACTGTCACAAATACACAATAGTAAGGTACCATATGATACGTGGGATGAGACAAACGCAATGGAACGAAATGCACTCGTCCCACGTTTGGTGCACCAATTTGATTGGGACGCGCTATCCTGTAGAATAGATTTTAGTCAATTTTTTGTGCCACCCTCCTCCTTTGGAACAACTTGTTCCAACCCATGGAACACAAAATTATAACTTTTTGGACAACAATACCCTTCTTATTTTTCATTAATTTCACTTCGAATATTAAACAAAATTCTAGAGATATCTCCATTTCTGCACAATTAGCATAAAATATTCATTAAAAATTGAAATTTACCTCAATAGATCAACTCAAAAACTGAGTTCTCTTGTTTTTCTGGGAAATCAAGCTTCTTTAATCACACTTCAAATTTTCCGGGAAATGAGTGACAAGAACCCAACAAAAAGCAATTTTCTTTGCGTTTGATTTCCATATTCAAAGAAGAAAAATAGCAAAACGAAGAAAACTCAAATCGGATAAAGGGTTCCTGAGAAAGCCAAAGAGAGGAAATTTTATGGGGAAACAAATAGGAAGAACAGAAGGGTATTGGGGAAAGTTGGTGAAAGGACATGGCCGACGTCGTTGCTTGATGGATGGGACATCAAGGATTAGGCAGAAGATGTGAGGGAAGACGTTGAACTCGTCGGAGTGGGCAGGTACGATTGTCATTTAATTTTTCATTCCCTTTCGGCCTGAGTGTACACCAAACGCAGCATGGAGCCTCCGTTCTGTCCCTTTTTGTCCCATTCCGTCCCGTCTGTGTACCAAACAATACCTAAATTAAATAACCATGTGGCAAAATCCGAACAAGGAGATCACCAATGATCAGTGGTCCAAACGCACCGGAACCTTAACCTGCGGCCCCTTTCCCACTAGTAAAAAACGTCCACGTGCCTGCCTACCACACATTCGCGTATATATATCCCTCGCTGCCCGCTGTCCACCTGGGCAGCTTTCCCTCCTCTTCCGCGGCCACTCACAGTCGTGCTTCCGCGTATCCTCCCCGCTGCCCGAAAATCCCGGTCAGCCACGGTCCAGCGCTCACATTCTCCTCTTTCAACAGCTTCGACTGCTTCTTTTTTAACAGACAAAAAAGGAAAGAAAAAAACAATTAAATCGAAAAAAAATTACAAAAAGTAAATTAAAATTTGCGATCCTATAAATTGATCCGAAGTTGCAGTCAGTAGAAAGAAAGCGTCGGTTTTGGTCGTTTCGCGGAATGTGGAGGGCAGCGCGATTTGCCGCGTCGCGGCTGAGCAACCGGTCGATGAGGCCGTTCTCGACGGCGATTCCCGGCCCCTGTATGGTTCACAAGCGCGGCGCCGATATTCTCCACGATCCATGGTTCAACAAGGTTGGTCCGATTCACCCTTTTTTATTTTTTTGTTTTCTGCAGTGTGATTTGAGCTGAACTTTTTTTTTTTTTTTTAAAAGAAATAACTTTGGTTGATGTAAACGATAGAACCGTACAAGGAGTGAATTTGTACTGCTCGTCTTGATTCTTTAAGCATACATTGTGATGATTTTATAAAGTGAAGGTGAAATTTTTCGTCGCGGTTCGAAGAAATTTTAGTTCTGGAAAGTGATGTAGAAGTTAAATGGATCGAAGGGATACTTTTTTCTTTTCAATTTTTGAAGTGGATGGTGCTTGAAATTTGCTGAATTTGTTTGAACTGTAAAATTTGATGATTTTTTTGTTTTTGTTTTTGTTTTTTACTTTGTTTAATTCTCTTTTCTGAATGTTTGTTTTCATCAAGAGCAGGACACTGGATTTCCGTTGACTGAAAGAGATCGACTAGGACTTCGCGGTCTCCTTCCCCCTCGTGTCATATCGTTCGAGCAGCAGTATGCTCGTTTCAGTGAGTTTCTTACATAATTTCCCCAAGTAGAACATATTTGTACATTGTTTGACTATGAAACTTATGTCCTAGCAAGGAGATGTTTTGTGATTTCTTTTTAGCATTGGCATTGAGGGTTTATGCAATGACATTTTCGTGTGGTTTAACTTTTTAGTGGAGTCTTATCGGTCGCTAGAGAAAAATACTAAGGGCCAGCCAGAAGGTGTTGTGGCCTTGGCTAAATGGAGGATTTTAAATAGACTGCATGACAGGAACGAGACCTTATACTACCGAGTAAGTTTGGTTTCGAATTTGTCGATATCAACAACTTTATGTAATCCATCGTCTTCTGATGTGGTTTTGGATGACGCTCATTTCCAGGCCCTTATTGACAACATCCAAGATTTTGCTCCCATAATCTACACTCCTACAGTAGGATTAGTATGTCAAAATTATTCTGGGTTATTTAGGCGCCCTCGTGGAATGTACTTCAGTGCAAAGGATAAAGGGGAGATGATGTCCATGATCTACAACTGGCCAGCTCATCAGGTAAATGCTACCAGCTTTTATTTTTCTCCAGGTTTTGAGCCCCATTCTGATAACCTCCATTTATCTATATTTTTAACTCCTTAATCCTTAATCTTCTTGTTCTTATAGAGGACTTAAAACACCCTCACATAAAATCTGTCTCTCGTTTTGTCAAAATACAGCATATCTTGATGCTTCTCTGTTGGGATTATTTTTTATTTTGTAGACTCCAAAATAATAACTTTCTGTTCTACTCCCTATGTTTCTAGTCCTTTCGGTTTGTAGTTGGTATTCATTTTCACTCTATATTGCAGGTAGACATGATTGTCCTCACAGATGGCAGTCGTATTCTTGGCCTAGGTGACCTTGGAGTTCAGGGAATTGGAATTCCAATAGGAAAACTTGATATGTATGTTGCTGCAGCTGGTATTAATCCACAAAGAGTATGTTCTCTCTCTTGGAGTTCACATCTTATGTTTCTACTAGTATTCATGTTACACTTGTCTTGGTAAATAAATTATTCCGGTAGATCTTATGTCGCTTAACCTATGTACCTCTATGACAGATACTACCGGTTATGCTAGATGTTGGTACTAACAATCAAAAGCTACTTGAAGACCGTCTTTGTAAGTAATATATGAATTCAAAATTTTCTGTTAATTATACTCAACCAAACATAACAGTGCCACAGTGTTTACAAAGCATTTAAGTTGTTGTAAGGAAAAGTTGTAATGACAGCGACTGTTTACTGTCTTTTTCTTGAGCATGACTTTACCCTATTAAAAGTTATACGACCAAAATATGAATCATAATAAATATGCAGTTTGACTACATATTAGAGTTTAATAATTTTTTTTTCAATTTTAATAAATTTCTGTTAATTATATTATGTTATACAACTTTTCGAATTTATTCTTGGCTTCTTTTCTATCTTTACATTGAATGACTGGACTTAATGCTTCAAAACTTTCCAATTTACATCATGAGGATACCTTTTCTCATGATTTTAATTTGACAGATTTAGGACTTCGACAACCTAGGTTGGAAGGAGAAGAGTACATATCAATTGTTGATGAATTCATGGAAGCTGTTCATACACGTTGGCCCAAGGCCATTGTGCAGGTCTATTTTTGAGATGCATTAACCTTTTATATCAGTTTGGTTTCTCCTTCCATAATAACTTGATTGTTTTCACTTTCATCAGTTCGAGGATTTTCAAATGAAGTGGGCTTTTGAAACACTGCAACGCTATCGTAGAAGGTTTTGCACGTTCAATGATGATATACAGGTGATAGTGTGGCTTTCTGTCTTTTATGGATTTGAAAGGTATATGCAGTGGAATACAGATTTCTGCTCAACTGAAATAAGTACCTCTGATAGTTGTGCTTCCATGTATTTTAGGGAACTGCCGGTGTTGCACTTGCGGGACTACTAGGAGCTGTAAGAGCGCAAGGTCGACCATTGAGTGACTTTGCTAAACAAAAGATAGTTGTTGTGGGAGCCGGCAGGTACTTTACATGCTCGTTCACTCTGAATGATTCATATATAGGCTATTCACTGGTTGCCTTGTGCATGTTATTGGCACTTTGTTCATCCTTTTATTCACTCTTTTTTGCCTTTCAGTGCGGGACTTGGTGTTCTTAACATGGCTGTACAGGCTGTTGCAAGAATGTCAGGGAACGGTGAAGCTGCTGCAAAAAATAACTTTTTCCTGATTGATAAAGATGTATGGCTTTATGTTTTTTCTTTAAGATTCACCACCATTATGTTAAACGGATTACATACATGTGCAGCAAATTTATTCTATAACGACCTTATGGTTTTGTCAACTATTCACTGTAGTTACACTCACATCTTTATTGATATTGCTACCCTCTTGGTGTAAAGAAGAGAGACATAGAATCAGCTGTGTTCTCAAAACTATTTTGGCCTTTGAATGTATGTATCTAGGTTTATCTGAAGAATCACTAAGAAAGTTGTTTGGGTGCAGGGTCTAGTTACAAAAGAGAGGAATAAGATTGACCCCATGGCTGCACCTTTTGCTAAAGATCCAGGAGCAATTGATGGGCTTAGGGAGGGAGCTAGTCTACTTGAAGTGGTAAATCTCAAAGGACTTCACTGTACCCTCTATCACAGAAAGTGGAATGATGTTGATACAAGAGAATCGAATCACCTTGCTTAGTACTAGTTATCCTCTCGATTTATATATCATAATATAAATATCAAATGTTTCGCACACAATTTCGTGCAGGTTAAGAAGGTCAAGCCTCATGTACTTCTTGGTTTGTCTGGTGTTGGCGGTGTTTTCAATCATGAGGTGGATACTTTCTCAATAACATTTGGTTATATTTATAAACGTCTCTTAAATTGGATCACTTTACTGAAGATGATTTGATTCTGTTAATGTTTGTTTGTCTGGTGTGGCCTTTTGCTAATTGGTACGTTGTTAGTAAACTATATGGGTTTTTGTGTCAGCAACTAGCATTCACGCATAATGTTTAAACAATTCTTTTGGAATGAATATAAGATTTGCCAAGAGAGATAAGCCTGTATATGTACATGCCATAGATTTATAAGAATATCCATGAGAGAGAAACCAAATAAGACTTTGATTTCAGTGTTACTGATTCAGATTACATGATTTATGATTCGATAGCTCAGTTTTTATTCTGATCATGATTCAGATACATTGATAATTTAGGTTCATATTATATAGCATTTGAAAAATTCATTGCTCTTCCCTATTTGTTTACAGAAAATATTGTACTTCCTTTTCTTTTAAGATGGTTTCTTATAGTTATTGGTTGGTATTCATTTAGGTACTTAAAGCAATGCGAGAATCTGATTCAGCTAAACCTGCGATTTTGGCTATGTCAAATCCAACCATGAACGGTTTGTTCCTCTGCGCCTCATCAAACCTCACAATTACCTTATGGCACCTAAATTCGTGGCTGACTCTGTTTTCCCTTTAAAATTGGAACAGCTGAATGCACTGCTGAAGACGCTTTTAAGCATGCTGGTGAAAACATAGTCTTTGGAAGTGGAAGCCCTTTTGATAATGTTGATCTTGGTAATTTCCTTGTTAGCAATGTCTTTATTGTACCGCAACTTCTAAAGTTTTTTTTCTACCCGAGTAGTTTGACCTTTAAGTGTTCTAAATATGTTGGCAGGCAACGGAAAAGTAGGCCATGTAAATCAAGCAAATAACATGTACCTGTTTCCGGGGTTAGTTTCCTATATCTTAAGCTTTGAACTAACTGTGCTTATACTTCAAAATACTAATATGGTTTTTTGGCTGCCTTTAATCCAGGATTGGTTTAGGAGCACTTCTCTCAGGAGCTCGTATTATATCAGATGGCATGTTACAAGCAGCTTCTGAATGGTAATCACATAAAACTTGGGTATTTCCTTGCTCGAACCTACAGTTGGCATGTTACAAGCAGCTTCTGCACTCTCTTTTCTTCCATGTTTACAATGTCCTATCTGACTGAGTCCAAGATCACATAAAACAGTGGTTTTGAAGATTTGTTTATGTGCTTTTGTTACATACAGAGTAATTATTTACTGGTTAAAGCAATTAAAATGCCTTTAGTTCTCTACACCCTAATAGCTGGGATTAGTGTTCTACTAGCCAAGCGATATGGAACTTTCACAGGTAGTATAAATCGTATACATACGATTTTGGTTATATGACTTCTGCCATCTCATTACATGTTGCACCTAATTAATTCCCATAGGCTGTAACGTGGGAAGGTATGTCAATTTGGGGGTGGCTTGTAATGTTTTATTCCTTATCTTGTTAGTTTGCATGCATTGAGGAAACTCATTTTTACCGCGTCATGAAATAATAGTAATATGATACCTCACATTACAAATTTATTGTCACTGCAATAAGAAATGTTAAATGAGAACATCATTTGAGCTCAATTTTGCAATGAACATCATTCGAGCTGAATTTTCCAATTAGTTTCTGACACAATGATTCTGTCCAGCCTCGCTTCATACATAACAGATGAAGATATCCAGAAGGGCATCTTGTACCCATCTATTGATTGGTAATATTTCTCACCTTCGTTGCGCATTTCATTTTATTAGTCTAGCATGCCAAACAGGATTAGAAATTTGTCTGACTATTCCTGTATATGGTGCAGTATCCGGAGTATAACTGCGGAAGTTGGAGCTGCTGTCCTCCAGGCAGCTGTTGCAGAGGAACTTGCAGAGGGACACTGTGAAGTCGGGCCCAAAGAGCTCATGAACATGAGCAAAGTAAGAACTTATCTACTATCTTTTACAAATTCAAAAGACCTTATACAAAAAGTTGCACAATGGAAAGTCAGTTTAGATTTGGAAAGCAAACTCGAAAATGTTACACTACTATAGCATAGAGAAAAAAGACACCGTTCTAGGGGGAAACACACACATTCGGATAATGCTACTCTAATGAGCATCTAATAGAACAACCATAACCGAGTACCTAAGCATGTAGGGTCCTAAACCCTCATTGCCTTCAGTATATCTTGATTTGAACCATCTCCGTCAAGCCACTGCTCACAACCTTAAAAAAAAATTAAAATTTCTCTGTTGAAGTCAAATTATCGGAATCATAGAACTCGGGAGCTGTCAATCTAGATAGATAATTGAATAGCTAGTACATATTCATACAAGCTTTTGTTAGTATCGATGCTGATTTCGAATTCAAGTTCTGAAGTCTCTTGAATCTTTTGTTTTTATCTATTCGGTGTAGGAGGAGATTGTGGAGTATGTGACTCGCAGTATGTGGTTCCCGGTTTACAGCCCTCTAGTTCATGAAAAATGAGGCTTTGGTGCTGTACTGCGCGCGATACGGTGCGGTCAGATGCTATATTTTTTGCAGCTCAGGCATCAATAGTTCTGCAGTCAAGCAACTTCTTTCTTGGCCTGTCTTTATAAATTCATAATTTACATGCTCGGAGAATTAGAAGACATTGAAGGGAACAGAAATAAGGCCCTCCCTTTACTAAATTGATAAGAAAGTAGCAATTAGAAACCCATTTGTTTGAACAACGCATTGATTTATGTGATCAAAATTATTAGTGGTGTCTTTGTTTCCAAATATCTTTCGACATGTTACGTCAATTTGATGTTAAAACATCTTTTATTTTCTGAACTAAAATTCTTTTCCCTCCTCTTTTTATCTCCTTTCTTCTCCTCTCACATACTTTATTTTGTCTTTCTCTTTTTATATAAAATTAATATAATATATTAACGTGGTTTAACCGTAATCATTCAAAGAGAATAGAAGGGAAGGGGAGGAAGAAAAAAATGGAAGGGAATCATCTTCATTTTCTCGAGTGGTTGAATATTCTATGAAAGATCTTTTGACATGTTACGTCAATTTAACGTTCAAACATCTTTTTTCTGTCGATTCTCATAGTAGTAGCTGATCGGAATTTTATTCTGGTCCTTTAAATTTCATTAAACTTAAATGGAACGGACTATAATGGTACGTTCCACGCAATAATACATGTTTAAAAATAAAAAATAAAAAAAATCTAATCGTTGATTTTTAATCACATTCAATGGTAAGAAAAATGGTAAAGTTTTATAAAAATTTCATGGTTCATTTTCATGTGGAAGATTTTCGGATGAAGGTCCATTTTCCACCCACCACCAAAGCGACTAACTTGCAACTTTATCTTTATGCAAAATTACAACAAAAATGTTATTATTATAATTTATTTGTACTATTATTTGTACCATCTCACTAATATAAATGGAACTCACATGTGTTAGTGAGTTATATATATATATATATATATATATATATATATATATATCTATTTGAGAGATGATACAAATTGATGATAAGCTAGGCGGCTAGTTATCATTCCCATTAATCTTTAGGCGTCTAAAAATTTAAAAATGGCATCTAGACCTTCTTAAGTATCCGCCTAACCAGCCCAGTTGTCCACTTAGCCCCCTAGACTAGCCTAGGTGCTTGTTTAGGTTGCGACTCTCACTTAAAAAGAAAATTGATAACTTTTATTTTAGATTTTAATTTTGCTCAATAAATTGAGAGACTTATTGAATACTTGGATGAACTTTCATTACATACTTGTTCCCCATATTTTCAATATGTTATAATACTTTAATCTATGTAACATTTTATTTTGCAATTTATATATACCAATACAACTAAGTATTCTTGTAAGTATAAGTAGGCACATATTTCTACGATGTATAATAAAATTACTAAATCTTTCTAGTCTGCCTAGGCCTAGGCGCTAGACCCCAACTCACCACTCGACTAGCTTCTAGTATCTTTTAGTAGGCACATATTTCTACGGTGTATAATAAAATTACTAAATCTTCCTAGTCTGCTTAGGTCCCACATAGCCGTCAAGGCGTTAGACCCTAACTTACCACTCGACTAACTTCTAGTATCTTTTAGAACCTTGCTCAAATTACAACTACCGTTTGAGGGTACTTAAGTGCCAAAGAATTTTAAACTCATTTGTTAAAATTACTTTGTAAGAATACTACTAACCAATGAATTACTGAAGTTCTAAAAAAACTACGACGTAAACACTGAAAATGATCTACAAATACACCAAACAAAAGGAATGTGACATTCAAGACCCTCAATGTGATTTTTTATCATTTTTGCAATACATTGCCATCAAGTTTAGCCTCATTTGTATGAAACTTTTATCCAAACATAGGGTAGCGTTTGAGTTGAACCACCTAGATGATGAAAGAGGGTACGACAATGAATTAGAATTATAATAGGTCCATAATTTCCTTCAATATAATAAAAATTATAATAAACGATAATATATAAATAGTGTTATTATTCTCCTTGGTACACAATTTTTTTGTTAAATTTTTAAATTTAAAGTGCATGATTGTTTTTATTTTTTTTATTTTATTTTTATGCCAATAACAGCTGATTGAAAAAATAGCAGAGGAGACATTGTTACTGTACATATTATGTGGCCACCTTTTTGTTGCTTCTGCCATTTGATGATAAGTCGATGAGGGATGATGTCTTGGAGACTGAGGTAACAGTTTGAGGCTTCATTTATACTGTGTGAGTTTTGACTTGTATTTTTAGATAAAATTAGAAGAAAATTGTTGATTGCTTTCTTCTATTCTAACCATTTTTGGAGGGCCGCCGACTACAGCTGGCCTCGCACACCTCCCGATATTTTTGCACGTGCCTCTGCCTATGCTACCCACGCCTACTGCCAACTTGCAGCTGAATCTTCATTGTGGACACGTCACCTCGTTCTTTTGCTTGTTATTCTAAATTTTTATGACTTGTCCATGTTGCTTCGGCAATTGATTTGCGTCGCTTTTGCGATTTTGTAACCTCTGTCTCGCGATGGTTTTGGTGAAGGTCTCGGTACTTGTTATGTCACGCCTTGTTTATAAGACATATCAATCTCGAGATTCTTGATTGTAACATTGTAATCGTACGATATACGATGAATAATTACGATTACAGAATTTGTAAGATTCTTATGAAAAGAATCCGGCAAAGATACTTAGGAAAAGAATCCGACTAGGATCCTTAGAAAAAGAATCCGACTAGGATCCTTTTCCATGTACTACCTAGGCCTTAAATTGAACACCTCCATATTCAAAAATTTCTTTTTATTCAAATTTTCTGTTCTAGATTGACTTGAGTTCTGCCACCACAAAATTATAAAGATAACGTGGGTATTTGCGTCACCTCGAATTATTTCCTTTCTACTAGCCTTCATGCACGGGCGTGAGCATGTGCAGAAGGAATTTTTTGAATCATGGTATGTTATGCATGATTTACACGTGTTAAATGTATTTATATACGTAAATTGACAAAAGAAAAACCAAATATTTGAAGTAAATGAATAATCTTAGATCAAATATTGTTTGTTAAAAAATAAAAAAAAACAATCATTTGACAACTAATTTAAGCACATCATTATCCACATGGGAAATATCTTTTTTATCACGAATGAATCACATTATTATCCACATGGGAAAATACTTTTTTTATAACTGGCATTACACGTATTTTAAGATGGGTTTGAACGTATTTAAAATTAGAGAAAATAATATTTAATGAACATCTGATTGAATCATATTATTACTAACCTATCGTAAGGTACTAATTAAAAAAAAAAAAAACTAGACTAATTTATCATTGGCACTATCTCTTAAAATGTTTTGAACACAACATTTATGATTTTCCTTTTTTTTTTTCCCCTTCATGTGGGTACCATCAACTTTCACTTATTTTTCTATTTTTTTTATTCTTTTCTCTCCCCACTTATTATTTATATTATAATATTATATTTTATGATAACCAAATTACCCTTGCATTATTGATACATTGTATTGGGCTGCTTTTGAATTTTTTTGGTTGAGGGGTAATTTGGTCCAATTAATTTTGTTAAAGCCGGTGACACCAAAACAGTCTTTCGGCTTTATATATCTCTACTAATTAATAAAACACTTATTGTCAACCAAAATCCTATGAAATTACTAGTTTAACCCTCTAATTAAAACAGAACATGAATAAGAAATATAGAACAGAAATGTAATTTCACACAACCAAATTTTGCTTTTTTTTTTTTTTTTTTTTCAAAGCTTCAAATACATAAATTCCTAACATATCTCTAATTTAAAAATAAAAAATAAAAAATAAATTTCTCACTCCCACGTTCCCTATTACTCTATCCCTTTCTTTTCTATTTCAAAAACAAAAATAAAAAATTGTCTTGCACACAAAGTCCATATGCCAATAGAAGATTAAGAAAATTCCAAAGAGAACAAGTTGACTCCTCAACCTCAGTGCAATTCCCACCATTAGAATTTAGGATTATTCGAAGCAACTTTTCCTCCAAAAGTAGTTAGAATAGAAGAAAGCAATCAACAATTTTCTTCTAATTTTATCTAAAGATACAAGTCTAAACTCACACATTATAAATGAAGCCTCAAACTGTTACCTCAGTCTCACAGACATCATCCCTCATCGATTTATCATCAAATGGCAGAAGCAACAAAAAGGTGGCCACTTAATTCCACAACAGTTTTTCACTGTTGTGTTTTGGTGTTTAATTTGTTTCTGAATTTGTAGATTCCGTGAATTTTTTCAGGTATGCAGTTGTAACAGGGGCAAACAAAGGATTAGGATTAGCAGTTGTCAAGCGGTTGGCATCAGATGGACTTACTGTGGTCTTAACTGCCAGAGATGAGAAAAGGGGTCTTGAAGCCGTTGACAAACTCAGGCAGTCTGGCTTGGCAGGTTCAGTGGTTTTTCATCAACTTGATGTGGCTAACCCTGCAAACATTGACTCTTTGGCGGGGTTCATCAAAACCCAGTTTGGGAAACTCGATATCTTGGTATGATCATACCTCATTGCTTAAAATGTTTTTGTCATTGCATACTTGTACCGAAGTTGGCCAGAGCAGTTTGATCCCCTCTCAACACATCTATTTTATTTTTATATTTTGTCAATCTGCACCTCTAAGTTAGAATATTGTTCAAATAAAATTTATGTAAATCATTGAATTGAAATTGGTTTCGTTAGAGGAGAGAAACTGTGAACCACAGAAAAATGGCTTTTGAG